CGCACTTACGAGGGACTTGACGGGATTTCGCATAAAATGGCAAACCCTACTAGGAGTTTAGTGCCAAACCAGACTCGCACTTACAGTCTTTCCCAATGAAGGGGTACTGCCCCGTATACTCACAAAAGCAGAATAGGTAGAGCTGTAGTGATATGAAGCTGGTCGGAGACTGACGACGCTGACGGCTTGGACGGCAGCGGCAGAAAAACGCAGGAAGGTGCGAGAAAATTCCGGCTAAGCTAGGGGTTTGGGGGCTGCGGGGTTTGGAGGTTCTTGACGCGGTTTGGCTGGGCTTCAGCTGCGGGACTCGGGCAGCGAAAAAAGCGGCACGAGTGAGGGCAGACGCGGAGGCGGCGGAGGTTACTTGGGCTCATAACAAATTGAGTGTAAATTGGAAAGTGATTGATTAAGCCGAGGTTAAGCTAGACTTCGAAAATGATCGCTTTCTAGAAATTCTGCATTAGGCAGCGCTAGGGCGATGTGGCTGCCATTAACTTTCACTTGCGCAAGGCTCATGTAACATGCAGAATGGGCAGATTATGTATGACGTGGCCTAAAGGCGATATTTGATTTGTGGATCAAATATTTCGCGCCGATGTGGCTCAACAATTACCTCACCTATCGGTGCGGCCATTGACGTATGATGTTGAAGCCAACTTAATTTCGAAAAAGTCGAGTTTCGAATTTCATTGAGCACAGTGGCAGCGATTTTTCACACTTCGGATTGCTGCCGAAGCCGCTTGCAAAACGTCGCAACTGCAACGTTCATGGCAGCTGGCACGTGTTACAACGATGCTGAACAATGAAGTTGGGTTGAACTGCAGCAGGTCTGGCAAATGTAGAAGCAATGCAGCAATGTTAATCAAACCGCATAGAAGACATTGTACTTCGTAGCTTCCCCCCCCCGAAGTCACATGTATTGGAAAGAAGCAAGTAAGGTGCGTTGAAAATGCCCCCAGTAAGTTCAGAACTGCCGGACAACGCACATCAAGAAGGACATCGAGCGCAGGTGGCTCTACGTGTACGTCTCGGTCCCACCCCACGAGGTGCTTGGCAATCATTTGATCATCACGTAGGCTTGTTCCTAAGCAATCTCACAATCAATTTTGAGGTGACCATCAAAGACTGAGCTTTTACCGTAGTGTGCATAGCCTTACTAGTGTATGGATGGACCAGTGCCCTCCCGTACACACCCATTGCTTGTCTAACTTGGAGGAGGTTGTCGTCCCCTCCCGTGTCACGGCGGATAGAGTCCCCATCCACCGACGTGACGATGCTTCAAAACGGGAAATCCATCCGAGCACATGCCACCGAGGTCAATTCGGTGTGCTTTAGCGGCAGTGGCAAGGTGGCGGCGTTCACTGCCAGCAGTGACGGCACCGTACGAGCGTGGGATTTGTGCTCGTGCCAGGCCAAGGCAGACTACCGTGGCCTCGGGATGTCGCAGCCGTTCATTTGCGTGCGCGTCCCCGAAGACGGCGAACTTGTGCTCGGTGAGAAGAACTAGCATATTCATGTATCGGCAGTGTGTCGATAAGATATCGTGTGACCGCACGTAGGAACGGGATGCGATCGCATTTGCCAAGTGTGGCGAGTGGGGACAGGTCGCATTGCCCACATACCGCTGGGACACAAGGTATGGCCAGCAAGAAATGCGTCGCGGAAGGCGACATCGATGGCCTGTGCTCGATGTGGGGGTGTTGTTGACGTGCCTCGCCGCGACGCCCAATGGCCTGGGGCGTTTCGCCGTGTGACGACTAGGCGGAAGCAGTCAGCGTTGCCGATATAGTAGTGGGGTGCCCTTCAAGTGTATGGCTGGTTGATTCGATGAGTTGCTGTCTCGATTGGAGACTTAGCGTTCAACTTTGCATTCAACGACGCCAGTGGGAACTGACCGCTTGTGGGTGCTAGGGAAAAGTGAATTTAAAATGTTTTCGCGCCATGCAAGAGTTTTAACCAATCGACACATCGCACGTTAAAAACTTCATTGTCATTGGCTTGTTCACTGACAGCTGCAAATTTCTTCGGCTGTCCCTTAAATTCCGTCGTTGTCTGTACCTCACCGGTCACACCGTCCTGCTGGATGAAGTCCATGAAATATGAACTTGGATCGGACATTTCCAAGAGCAGTGCAAGAGCCATGTACGAACACAGGAATGAACTGCTCTTGTGAGGATAGAGCGATACTCCTTCGAGCGAGGATGTCTTGAGACGCTGACGCAACGAACAGGTCGCCACCGCTCATTTAACGCCACTAGTTAGGAGGTCAATATTTACAATTTCCACAATCCAACGTAATCAAGATTGTGCCTACCTGACTGCGTGTCAGCCCGTCGAATCAATGGACCGACCGAGCACGTGCCAGAAGATCACAAGAGTGCAAAATACATGAGTTAAAAATCGGTCCATGTTATGTGTAAGTGCCACAGTCAATTCAGTTTAAGAATAACTTACACAAACATGCATTATATTTGCAGAATTTTGAGGACATATGTCCCCCTGAAGTTCGAATTTGTTCATATACATCCTCTGTCCCACAATACGTTACCGCATGACTTCACATCAACCCGAAGGGTTCGTTTCTGCAACCCAAAAAACCCACTCCCGCACCGAATTCGATGTAAGATATCATTATATAAAGAGCATTAAAAACCACAGGAGCCGTCCATTGGCTGTCGAGGGCTGAATTTGAATTTTGGCGCTCAAAATCAACTTCCTATATCCACGACCCGAATAAAAATACGCCACATATATAAATCAAAACACTTTTGAATTTGCCGCCATGAGCCAAGCCTCTCGAGAGATATCAAGCACCAGGAAAGTTGAAGAGATCCAACACCTGCACCTCTACCTTAAGGCTGGCAAGTTAGTCCGTGGCGCTTTCACCAGAACGGGTGAAGAGCTAGCCATTAGTCACCACACCGTTGCCACCTTCTGGCGCACGTTCTGCAATACCGGGGCGGTCAACTCCAACAAGGTAGGGAGAGTTGGGCCGAAGCCACTACATATATACGACCCTGTGCGCCGGCGCCGTGCCGGTCTTCTGATGTCGAACATGTCCTGCGCTGTCTCGCTTGTATTGTAGGCAAGGATTAATAACCAATGAATATATTGATTGTCTTGGTGAACCAATCATATGAGTTTAGTTTGAGTAATGTGGAAAACGTGTGTTTTTCTTTTGGTTAAGCATTATGCATTCGATTGCAAATTGGAGGAGGTATTAATAGCCGAATCGAATCGACGGAGGTGAATCGCGAGGCAATCGCCTAGCCAATCAAACTTCTCCGATCCATTTGGATTAAACCAATCAAAACATATTCTTTCGGGCAGGACTTCCCTTCGTCGAAGGACATTCTCGCCGACACAGACGCATTCGAACAAGCATGATGAACAGCCAAGAGCAACCGCGAGTTTCACCCCATCGATACAACACCCGATCATCACCACAGCCCCCCGACGCACGGTACAGACTCAGTGCCGAGCTCTTTGTCAAGGACACTGTGTACGCTCGGGACCACAGCGGCAAGCGGCTAGCACCCCAAATCTTCGAAGCCGAAAGCTGGAGTGAGATGAAGGAACATATATTCACGCATTGTGCTCCCCACAT